GTGTCTTTTGATGTCCGCCTATCCTCGGAAGCTGTGTAGTAGTGTTCCAGTCGAGCCCGAACAGCTCGTGTGCAAGCTCCCATACGGCCGCCATCCGCAACACACAACACTGCCATGCACATAGCGTTCCGCGTGTCTTACAGGGCCGAGCATTACGCGGCCTCGGAGGCCGTGGGAATGGCGAAAATGACAAATGGTGCGCAACTTCAGGTCAACTTTTCGGTTAAACTCATCCGGTCAAGTTAGGGATGGGTGGATAGCTTGGCGCGGAGCAGTTGCACCAATCGCGGTTGATGGTTCGGTTACATTTCAGTCTTCAACTCATAGACTTCTTTGAAAGGGATGGGGCTGCAGGAGAACACCGGTGTCTCCCGAGCGCTCTTTGTAGAATGGTTGCTCGCAGGTTGACAGCAAAAATAGTACTGCCTAGAGCTGTAGCGCGAATGTGGCTTTTTCAAAGGTCATCCTCAAACGTGCAGCCAGTTTCCAAAAAGCCGATGATTTCGCGGCAGTTACAACAGAGTGAGTGCGACAGCATTTGGCCGTTCATGAGTTCATGTCAAGTAAAGCAAATATAGTAGGTGTTACCAATACTAATAGGGAATATAAAATAAATGGCAAGTTTTTGCGGCTTGAGCAGATACACAAAATATCCAGGAAGGCAAATTCCGTCTGGTTTACTAGGTAATCGCTTTCCAAATGAAGAGCCTCAAAAAGAAATAGAGTTAAATGATCTATTTGCATAACGGCTGAGCAACGAGATTAAACAAATAGAATGACGAATGTTCCAAAATATCTCAATTGCGAGGGGGCACCCTCTGAGCACGGATCTGTTTCTGACATGGTTGAATGATTGCCTCGTGATACCTTACAGCCTGTGACATTTTGAGTTGCACTACACAGGGCAACAAGAATATGCTTGCGTCCGAGCCGGTGCCCTTTTTGTGCCACTGAATGCAATTGTGCATATGAATTGTACCTAAGCGTTATATACGTCATGGCATTGAGTTCGTGCTCCTGCATCGTGGCGACTTTAGAGGGCACGAAAATCCGAAGCCGAATAGCGTACAAGTTACGTCCCTGCAAATCTACACGGGCGCCTTCTGCCATCCATGATAAGTAAGGCACAAAAATTTGAAAGGCGGCTTGAAAGCCGGAAGGGCAAGGAACGACTTTGCGAGATCCAGGGGGGGTGTCGAAGTCAGGAACGCACGGGATTTTTGTTGCGTCGAGACTTCGCCATTAGCAAAGTCATAACTGTATCGTTGGTATACAATCCCGGGTAAATAGGATTTCACAAAAATAGTTTTCCGCGTCTTGACAGAATTCGGTCCTTAGTCGGCCTTCAACAACTTGGGATAGGAGCTGTCACCCGATGGCCGCCGCGAAGTGCTGCGCTGCCTCTGCCTCCCATATGGCAGGGCCTGCGTCCCGCGATCAGGCGACTGGCCACGTCTCTCTTGCAAACGCGATTGCGTACTTGAACTCGGTGTCCGCCGGAGTCAGCGTAGAGCCCACGGACTACAATTGGGGAGCACCAACTCTCCTTCAACAACAGGCGCTCTACACGCAGTTTCTGCAGTTGGCGTTTATGTGCTCGCTGCCCCAAATGCAGTACTTGTCGGCCTGCCCAAGCCTGCAAGCTGGGCGGCCGGCTATGTTTCCTAGCTTTATGCCTCCTTTTTCAGGTCCGTTCTGCAAGGAGACAAATTGAGAGCACGTGACTGGGAGGTTGTGGTACATCGAGCTTTCTTTTCTGTTGCCTATCAGGATTTCTGCCTCCAGTGGCTGCGCCATCTGCAGCGCAGTCGCCCTCGCCTGCGCCTTGTTCGCCTGCGGCTCCACAGGTTTCCGGGCAGCAGGTGGGCTGCGTTCTGCTTCTTTTAATTGTTTAATCCGTTGCTGTTGGGGTCACGGCATCATTCTTTTTGCCATTAAATATATGCTGCGGAAATCTGCAGGCTAAGTCAGGCACTGCAAAGCCTGATGCGAAGGCAGGCAAGACCCAGTCGCCTAGCAAGAAGTCTGGTACCGGATCCAAGGCCAAGACTTCGAAGAATACGTTCACAGGAAACAGGATTCACCCTGCTCCTCCAGTGGGTGCGGTAACGAAAATGGACTCGGACATTGAACTCGAGGACATCTGCCGCTTGCTGGGTGACGATGCCTTCCTGGAGGTGAGCTTTTCGATGCGATGCGAGGATGACATATTTATTTGCTGTGATTGAACCCACGTCTACAGGGTTTTGGGGCGCGCGCCCTTGGTGCTGACCACAATTTTTAGCTGGCACGTGTGTTTTCCTCCTTATCGCAGCACCTGCAGGACGACGTGTTGTCGGAGGGCTCCAACGGCAGCTCGTCCACTTCTGACGGCCGTGTGCTATCTAAAAACAACAGCAACGGCTGCCTCAGCGGTACCGTGAACAACGAGGGTGCCATGTTCGCGGCCAACAACTTCGCAGCGGCTTTTGACCTGGAGATGGAAGACCTCGCACCTTCCGCAGCGGTTTCTGAGTGCAAGCCCGAGCCGCCGGCCCCTGTCCCTTCAAAATCCGGCTCGGGGGATCTCAACAATCTCGTCGCCGCCTCCACTCACCGCTCCACACGTTCTACTCGATCAGCTGCGCGGGAGGCCGCGGCTGCCGCTAAGGAGGCGGTGGCGTCCTCGACTAAGGCCACGCTCAAGGTGTCTAAGGGCGGGGTGCAGAAAGGTGGGGTATCCAAGGTGAATAAGTCGCAGGCCGCCGCGGCAGCTGTGGCTGCGGTGACGCCTCCGGCCACCGCGACGGTGGCGGCCCCCATGGATGCCCAGACGCTTCAGACGGAGGACATTCAGCTGACGGCCGCAGACTTGTCGCACCTCCTCGGGGAGGATGATAACAGGTTGGTGATTAACACGTTGGTGCAGATTGCACGCGCGCGCGCTTTTGGTGCAGAGGCACTGAAGAGGGTGCATAAGCGGTCCACTGTAATTCAGAAAGGATACGCAACTGCATTTGAATTTAACGGATGTGCAGTGCAATCTGTGTGGTTGCACGTGGTGGTTTCGGGGCCGACAGCCTTCAAGCCATCTATGTGGGAGCAGCTCAAATATGATATGTTTGACTTCGGGGATTGACAGTTGGCTATAAGACAGCTTCCATCTGCAGTCTCCCGAAAACCCCTGTGGGCGCAGTTTATGTCTTCGTCAATCTGCGCCAGCTGCAGCTAACTGCCCGGGTGTTACGTTAGGATACGCACGCGCATGCCTTTCCCGGTCGTGCGCGTTGCAAAGGACTTCAAAATTACTTCATCGTTGTTCAGCGCGTCCTGAAGCCCAGCGCTTTTGGCCAATCCTTTCCCCCGTCCGTGCGTCTGTCCGTACGTCTGTTCGTGCAGGATTCCCGACGGTTGGGATCTGGACCTTGATTTCGAGAACCCTTTTTCATGCTCAATCAGCGCTTTCTGAGTCAAAACGGAGGCTGCAGGAGCATATGGAGACCTCTCAGGGTCGCGGAAGCTTCCGCCGTACCAGGCGGCCAGTCTGCTTCACCATCATATGCTTCTGTCAAGGAAAGGCCGAGACACAGACGGCGATACAGTCATTGGGCGATATGCTTTAAGCGGATCATGCTACGTGCGAATATCGTAGCATATGCTCTTCGTTTCTATCACAGGTACAAGTGTGTGTATGTATGTAGGTATTGGACTCTTCTTCTCCTAGATGGATGGCGACTGGTGTGTTGCATGTCCATGGGCCCAGTACTTTCCCAGGCTCTCTCGGAATTTGACGCCGTGGAAGCCAGCACCGTGCGAACGGCCAGGCCAAGAATCCATCGGCAATTCTTTGTCTTTACTGACTATTATTAAGGTACTGTGCAGCTGGAACGTGGTAGGGGGTATGTGGTATTGTAAAAGCTATTCTGGTGCTCGGGATGGGTGGAAGTAGATTTGCGCGGGAGAGGAAGACTGGCTGCTGAGGGATGGAGAGGTGGATGTGGGCGAGTAGTCGCGATGTGTGGTCGGAGAGGTGCTGCGCTGGAGAGGTCGTGTGTCGGAGCTGATGACAGCAGGAGTCCATGAGGACTTGAATGACAAGCGATGCATGCGAGGAAGACGATGACGATGAGGAGTTTCGAGTCCCCACAGTGTGGGCAGTGTAGTGTCGTTGGCGGTTAGCATGGTCTGCTATTTGTGTGTTGCGTGCCGTGGAGTCGAAAAAAGAGCGGCTCCTAACGGAGATATTACTGACTGAACGCATGCCTGATATTGAGACAGCTCGTTGTCCGAGCATAACGAATAAATACTGAGGGGGGTTATCATCCACAAGCACATCGATATTTGTTTTTAGGGCTTTCTTCTCGTTCCTTAGGCAGTAAGGCAGTATGAGGTGACATTTAGTGGAGTATTCCTAAGTGTGGCTGTTGTGCGTTCCTAGATATGCGCTGCACGAACACGCATTGCGGTTCCAGGGCTGGCTACTTGCCCGCGTGCCCCCTACCACCTACCTGGGCGCTTACGCGGAGCTCTTGGGCCCTTGCCTGTGCCGCGCGTGCTCGCTCGCCGCCAGGTTATACTTTTTTAGGACAATAACTAGGTGTGTGACCGTTCTTACAGGCGCGGGCGAGTCTTAACGAGCCCATTTTGTAGCGCCTGTCGAAACGTATGGCAAATTTTCCTGATTACCTGGCCATGTGGATTAGAACCCATGGCCGTTTTGAATGTTCGTAGGGTGAAAACATATGCGCAGTAGCATGGCAGTACCTGAAAAGGATATTAGCTGCTTTTGTTGTGTCCGGTGGACCTCACGGGTGGAACCACCGCGTGAGGTTGGCGGCAACCGCATGCCACATTCTGAAGCTGAGGCTAATAGCGGAGGAGGAGAAGATGAACACGCGACGCGGGAAGTGATGCAGGACTCGAGAGAGCGCGTGTCCCTTTGAGCGGTGGGATATGTGATGTGATGACTCCAGCTTGATCGACCGCGCAATCGCGAGCAATGCGCTCCGATGTTTATTATGTCACTTGATCATGAATATGATATGAGGACAGGAAGAGGTTGACGGGGAAGAGGGGAGTGGAGAGGCGTGCATGCGGATCAAAGTGAGGATCGAAGTGAGTTGTGTGGAGAAGATGATGGTTTCAGAGCACGAACTGCGACCGCCGTCATCGTCATCGGCGGCAGTTGTCTGTGGAGCGGCGGCGGGACTGGAGGGGGAGGAGGAGGCCGAGCGCCTCGGCACGGGATCGATGTGCACCCGAGAAGGCGGGGATGCATGGCTTTCGGGACTTCTGTAGACTGGCTTTTGCATTGTCATCGCGGATGCCTTTGCTGTTGGTGATGGTGGTGGTTCTGCTGCTGCTGCTGCTACGTACGTTGAGGCCTTGGATGGCCTCCCGTCTGTGGCGAGTATTGTGTCCGCGTCTGTACGCCTGTAGGCCTGGCGCGATTGTTGATGTTAGTTATTGTTGTTGTGTTGATGGAGATTGCGATAATCACGATGCCAAAATCTAAAAGAAAGTTTGAAATTTGTGTCAGTTGATGTTGTTTTGTTGTTGAAACGTCTTCAGCGTCTACATATATATGTATGTGTGTCGTGCGCTGTGTTCGGATTGTTTCCAATTGCCCGTGGAAATGTGCGACCACGGGCAGGTCGGGTATCGTACCTGCCGAAGAGAGCATGCTAGAGACTTAAGGGTACGCGTGTCCCTGGGCCCGCCGAAATCTCTTTTATTGCTCTGATATGTCGCCATCTTCTGCCGCCACGAAAGCGTGAAGGTCCGCTTAGCGCATAATCGCGTTACGTTGCTCTGCACTATTGCGATATATATACACATGCGCGCACGTGCGCAGTGTTGCTGCTTATCGAAGACCGATTCCAAGTTCTCCAGGACTCCAGCAGATCAACCAATTGTGTGTGCGTTGTAACGGGGCAAACAGGTGAATAATGGTGGTGGTTATGGTGGTGAAGGTTTTTTTGGCCGGCCTTCTCAGATATACAGTGTTCCGCATGTACCCTATGAATGTTTGTGCAAGGTGAGTTTTGTTCGTCACCTTCTTGAGGTGGTGTGCAATATGCTGCTCTGGGTCTTGCACGCTCCTTTAATTTCAAATGCGAAAATGCTTCGCTGTCTTGTGGCGTCGTTGGCCGTTGGTGCTCCCGCTGCTGTTGTGTGGTTGTGTCCTGCCTCCCTTCGCTGCGAGGTCAGGGTCTTGTAGCCCAATTGTAGGTTGTCGCATCGAAAGTACTTCGATGCGCCATTTCGTCTCGTTCTTTTGACGACCAAAAGGTGCTGTGCTGAAGATCTTTCAGGATGCAGTCGTCAAAGATGTGTCTCGTCGTCAAGTGTGCGTTTCTTTTTTGAGCTCTTGTACCGTACTGCATGCATAAACATTGGATTTGGATTCCGCTTTTGCGTTTGTTTGAGAATCCTGACATATGAGAAGATGCCGTGTTTGAAATATGATGCAAGGCTTCGCATTTGCTGCGTGAAACATGTATTATGTCTACTCGTTGACCTTGACCTGGTGACGTGTAAGAAAAATTTTCCTAGGCTTCTTGTGTGCTTTTCATCTGCAAGATGTCCACTTGCGTACAGTCAGCAGGCAGCGGCAAACGCCAGCAATTGCTGCTTACTGTTCTTTGAAGAGGGCTCGTTCAGAGTCAAGTTTTGTTGTCGTACACATTATCGTACACTATTGAGTGTGAAATGAATTTTGTATGTCGAGAGGAGGAGGAGACACATAAGCACGCAAAAGAGACGTCCGTGCCAAATACTGCCTTGCGACTGGATTTTGCTGAATTTTAATACACAACGAACGCTGTATTGTTATAAAATCATTTTGTGTAAGATATACCCTCTGGCCTCCGCTGTTGGGAACCATTCTCCCAAACATTCTCTATGGATTTCGCTCCCCACTGGGTCTCTGGGAAAATAGTGACAGCCACACGGCGGTTGCTCAGTAACACCCACGTTATATGTGCGCGTCTGCTTCGTTGCAACTATATTCGTTTGCATGGCCTCGCATCGCATGGAGGCGTACGTAAGGTGATAGCCTTAACGGTATAGCGTTGCGGAAAACAGCGCACACAAAATCCACGACGTTCATGTACGGCGTGCTGTCCAGAACCTCCGATTTCCAGAACTCCTTTACTTAGTAATGATTCCGGAAACATGTTCCTCTTCCTCTTCCTGCAAATCCCCTGCAAAAAACACCAGCCGACAGGGAAGAAGTCAGAAGTGACGGAGTTGAGTTTGTTCACATCCAATCCTCATCCAATCCCTCTCTAAACGTGCTTCTTACAATCTGCTTGTACAAAGAGAGAAGGTTCTTTGTATCTGCCCGTTTGTCTGTCTGTCTGCCTGTCTGTCCCGATATATATCATGAGTGCGTGAAGCGCCAATGCACGCACGCACGTGTGTCACCCGGCGGTCAACCATGTCGCCTTGTCGCTCACCAAGCCGAGTCCAAAACCCATCCAACGTCTGCCAGCGCTGCTGCACCAGTTGGCGAGTGGCGAGTGGTTGTAACGCAATGTCGTGGCAATACCTCACATCGCCACTCCCATCCTCAAGCTCAGCCCCTTCTCCCGCTCGAGGACACGAGGGCACGCCATGATGAACGCTCAGCATCAACCCATTCGTTGCCGCTCATTCAACCAGGTATCGTACATTTCTAACGCCCGTACGGCCTCCTGTAGCAACAACTTGTGCTCCAGCCGGCACCGCACCGCCGCCGCTACTGCCGCATCCAAACCCTCCACCCCTGACATCCCCAACTCCTCTTTCCCGCCGCTTTCGTACAAAGCCAGGAAGTGCTGGTCGTGGGCAATGCTGGAAGGAAGCTCATCCAAGGCTGCCTGGTACGACTGCCGTACGGCAGCCGCGGCGGCACGCTCCGCTGCAACGGTCCCGGCGCCGCCCTGGAGCGGCTGCGGCGGCGGCCTACCGGAATTACCCGTCCAGGCCTTGGCTGCCGCTCTGCCGCCGAACAATCCACCCCCTGCACTCCACCCTTACCGGGTAGACGCGTCATGGACAAAGACGTGGTTAAAAAAACGTGGGTTCGAAAACATGTCCAATCCTATAACCAGGTGCTGCATATTGATAGTGGGTTTGCGGTACGTGACAGCACGGGTTTGGGAAACAGAGGAAATGGATATAGGGGTGAAGCGCCGTCTTGACCCCTAAATCCTCGCCCCGCCCCGCCCAACATCTTTTGCGCTCACCCTCCCCTCTCGTGCGTTAGAACAGCCGGGGCCCAGCGTCGTACTAATTCATGCCCTACTGTTGCGGCGCAACAACATAAAAAGATACTCTCAAATACAGTTGCGCCGTACTAGGTACGGCGTCGTACTCGGAAGATAAGCTTGAGCAACGTTCCCCTTACCCTTTGGCGCCCGGGAGCCGTCGCTGAGATTCATTGACAGTACGGCATTCCTGCGCGGTATGCATGCATGTGACGAAATTCAATTTGAGAAAAACCCTGTTGGTTGGTTCTTCTCTCCTGGTTTAGGCAACGGGTGAGGCACCGCCCATGCATGGCGCGCCTTGTCCTAATCCTGAAGCTGATCCACTCAGATCCACCTAACTTGCTTTCTTTAAAACCGCATGAATTGTCGACATCACAGCTTTGCTTGCACCGCATGGGAAATAGCTCTGCAGACAGCTTTTTTTATGTGGGCGTATGAAGCTTCAGGGCATGACAGTTGCGTCGTACATTACATAATTACCAGCAACAAGCAAGAGAAACTGTCGTACGCCTGCTTTCCCAGCCATCAGTTACCTTCGCCTTATGAACGCCAGCTCCAAGACGTTTTCCAAGGACTGCTTGTATGTGACGTTGCCCTCCCGCCAGTCGCCCTTGAGGCCCACCTGAGACCCGTGGGTCAGTGTCGGCTCGGAAGTCAAGTCGAATCAGATTTCGGTCGGAATCTGGGTCATCAATTAAAGCTTGGATTGAATGCAGCCGAATTAAGAACAGGTCGATTCGGATTTAGATTTGGATGTCGTGCAAATCCGTGTTAGTAAGTTACGATTCAGTCCATAGAACCCTTACGGTTATAGTAATAATAATACAATAATGCGGCTTCAATGGGATCAGAAATTTGGGGGAAGACAGTTTTAAACAAAACATCCGAAAACATACATCGGGGGAAGGCACTCGCACGAACACAGTTGTCGGAAAATTTAGGGATTACTCAGGCGCACAGCTAATTATTTGGCTGTCGCGGTCATCTGGTTCTTACAAATGCGCGGGCTTCAAACCGGTTCATGGTTCATACGAAAGGTCTGCTGCATACAAATAAGGCAGGAGGTGAAAAGGACTATCTTACCGACTCGAGCAGCGACACCCCGTTGAGCTCCGGCAGCGAATCCTGATTTGGCAATTTAATTCTGTCATTCGGGTTGCCTGGGACGACGAATCCGTAGTCCCGCATGACCTGTACGGCGCACGAGGGCCAGGCTAGTGGCACGAGTGGCCAGTCGCGTCGCAAATCGTTGCTGTGCGCGAGTCACCCGGGTTGCTGCGTAGGGCTCCTCTGTGTGGGGGTGCCTGTGTGATGCTGCTGAATGTATAATATTGCCTCAGCGCTCAGTTCTCTCTCTCACCTCAAAGTTGGGTTTGTCTTCTCCATAGCAGATGGAGGCCTCTTCGCCGGGGCCCAGGGGTGACAGCAGCCGAAGCTCGAAGCTGCGCGTCAATCCCCCGCACGCCATATCCCATTTACACATCAGGCAAACTCTTAGGAATAGGAGGCTGTTGCTAGGAAGTTAAAAGAGGGGGAAAACCATATTCAAGGAAACTGCAAGGATGAACTGCCGGCATCTCCAAAGTTTGAAACGGGCTGAAGTCCTAAGCAAAGATTGAGGTCACCAACACCACGTGGTTTCGGAGGTGAAGGAAAGCCCCGTTGCGTTACCGACGTGGCGAAGAGGTGTGGAGGGCGAAGGGAAGGCGAAAAAGGCGATGGGAGCAGCAACGGATGGAGCTAAACGGGGGGGCGTTTTAAAAAAGGTGGGAGGGAGGCGACAGGGAGGGAGTCCTACCTACCTGCTTGTGAGGGAGACGAAGGGGAACTAAAGGGGACGATGCCTTACCTTGCCTTGCAAACATCAAGGCAGTCTATGGAGTTGCAGTGTCCATACCGCTGAGAGGGGGGGGGGTCCCCGCTCATAGCCCCGCAACAAGGGTGTCCGCAATACCACAGCAATAACTAATTTTCCTAAACCGAGTCCATCAAATAACAAGCTAACACCACCACCACAACCACCACTGGAACACCCAACTGGACAACGACAGAATCCGGGGGACAAAACAGCATCAGCATCAGCATCAGCAGCAGCAGTACGGAGCTACTAACCGTTCGTTGTCGCGCGCCATGCAAAATGTTGAGTTATATTGGAAAGAGTGGTTGGCCATGTCGGCGTACGGCACCATCAGGGTAAGGCCCTCGCCGTTGACGTCCTCGGAGAATGTACGGGTTCGTACCATAGACATGGCCCATTGGGTGTCCACGGGTTTCGCCGCCAACTTCAAATGCCGCAGCTCGCCACGAGCGCCGTCGAAGTAACTGCAGCGTGTTTGGGGATGTTGTTTTGAACGTGGGTTCGGGTTTTCAGGCTTTGGGCGGCGGCGGTTTTGGGCTTCGTCGTTAGATGGGCTCGAGTTTCCAGGAGGTAGTTTGCAATAACTGATTTGCCCGGCGTTAGCTTCGTGGATGAACGTAATGGTAAAAAGCAAGGGCGTACTGGAGGTTTTGAAGCGTGTCTGTATTCGGTTGGGGAGTGAACACGCCGTACAGTGGTGTGCCGTACATTACTGTTGAATAGAATGCCGTGCCGCCCCTACCCATGGTGCGCTTGTCAAACCAGCAGCCTGCACACCCAAGACGCGGCACAGCACCATAGACTAAAACCCTAAACCCCCTAAAACCCTAAGTCAACCTACTTCCGGTGCACGCTCAGCGCCCAGTTGTGTTGCACCCTCGCCTCTTCCTGTACGGCAACGTACGACATGGCTTTATACGGTGTGTCGTACTGCCGCCGGTGTGTTCACTGGGGCACCGAGTGTTAGATGTTCGTTTCGTAACGGCGAATGTACGGCGGCACAATAACATGCTCGCGGCCTTCAGGATACTCTCTTGCGTGGGGCGAAATCGTAAACCTTGCGCTGTACTTCAAAGCCGTACAGAGTACGGCAATCCATGCTGTACAGTCCAGATCGGTCACCTTACCACGAGCTCCTTGAACTGCAACTCCTTGGCGATATCCGGTCCGTAATTGAGCAAGCAGGTCACCTGCGACGTGGCGGTGGGTGATTCCCGCTATCCGTACTTTACATGGGCCTTACTACAGGGTGCTCACAAACAGCACCTCGTGGATCTTGTCCGTAAAGACTCGTACTGTCGTACATCTCCAGCGGTTTTCGTTCGTAAATAATTGTGCGGATGTGCACGGGCTGGGAAAGGAAGGCTCTGCGACCGACTTTGCGCAGCGCTCGGGGGCCCCCCCAGGTGGCTGCCGAGTAGGAGCCGAGTAGCCATTAACCAACAAACCAACAAACCAACAGCTTCCGGTGTAACCCTCTCAAGAGTCCTCACCCGCGATGTTCCCCTGCCGGCCCCCTGCGGGGACCTCTATTAGCCAACCCAAATATACCTTTCCCTTTTCTCTCTCTCTTGCGCTCTCTTTCTCTCCACCTGCCGCCTCTCTCTTCCCTTGCCGTACACTTACCTCCTCAACGGGTTGTAGGCTGGCAAGATAAGGCCCCCAAACCGGACTGTCCGGAAGCTCCGAAGCCACCCACAGCAGCCATGCGGTCATCCGTACATCCCAACGGGCGTCACCTGCGAACCACCCGGCAGTGGGTGGTGTTCGCTCCAACTTAGGACTAGGAAAGAAACCCCAACCGCCATCGCAACCATCATCTCAACCGCTAACTAATCCACAATTCCATAAAACCGCCAACCCGTTTTTGACATACGCGGTGCGACAACATCGAAATTTTATGTAATATCCTTTGTGATCTTATTAGCTGCTTGCTGGGGATTAATAACACAGCAGGGGGTCAATTGAACGGCATTGTCACCATCGCGCCATGGACTAGTACGACAGAAGGCGGCCAGGCGTCTAGGGAGGCTTGATTTGCGACTGAGAGCCGCTGTCGCGGTTGCCAATAGTTACGTATTTACTTGTTAGGAAGTCTAGCAACTGCTCCGGTAACTGTCCATGGTGTTGCTGCCAGAGCTCCTGTCCGCGGTCCCCGAAGATGCTGATGCCACTTAGAGGATCATCTGGGGGGGGGGGGTAATGCCCCAAATGGCAGTTGTAGCAGCAGCAGCAGTTGTGGCAGCAACTACTATGAGCTGCAAACTATTAGCAAAGTGCAACTAGCACGTATAACAGAGAAAAACACCATGTAAAATAATCCTCTGTGAAATGGAGGACCCCCCTGCGCCGATGTGCGCTTGTGACCCGGGGGCCGCATCGCCTAAAGGCTGAGTGTGAGGTCTGATAGGACTCACCAGTAATGACCAGGGTATTTTGGAGAGGCACAGACACAATAACCTGACGCTCCAACAAGCGCGGAGCCACAAGGCCTCGGCCTAACGGCGTCGGACCGCATTGCACCAATCGCTGCACACCCGCAGCTGTTGCCAGGACCTCTGGATCGAACGCATCTCTTATGTAAGTAGTTTCTAAACTGGTGTCCACAGACGAGGTTTGCTGGACCGAGGCAGCACCAACAGACGAGGTGCTCCATGATGTTGTCCGTTGGCAACGACGGACGTCATATAGTAATTGTTGTCTACATATATGGTTGCAACGTCTTATTGGTGGCGATGCGCATACTAAAATTGAATGTTGCCAGCGAACCGTCGTTAACCGTGAGGAAAGACAAACGACCGGCATTGCAAGTTGAAAATTCGTAGTAGAATTTTCTTACATTCTCAAAATATACAACCGAGGTGTAATGCAAAAGATTATGCGTTGTTACCGTTAAATCGGATCTGACGGCTGTCCTTCCAAACGGGCTTATAGCCACCTCCCTCACGGCTTACAGCCCTCCCCTATACGCTTACCTACTGCGTGTCGCCCTTTGATTGTCACGGCTTTAGGAAGCTTACCTGGAACCGGGCACCACGAATGTTCCTGCCTGAACTGTCTTGTGAACACAGTTCCACTACCCGTGCAGAATGGCGCTCTCCTAGTGCACCTTCTAAGAGTGTTAGCAACCAGTGCCTCAAAAATCGTGGATGGTCTTCCTGGTCCTCCTGTCCCCCATCCCCTGAGCTCTCGTCTGCTCCACTACACACATGGTCCGGCAAACAGCGGCTGTCTCTTCCCTTCTGTCAGTAATAGAAGCAGTTTCAAATACTAGTTCTGCGAGTTGCACCTTGAATCGGATCCTTGGTCCAAACAAATGAGAGAAAACAAATGAGAGAAACGAGATCAGGTGGGTGTGCATCCGCGAGCTCCGACGGCCTGAAGGCAGCTGGCCGAATTCACTCCGCAGCCCCAGAATTAAAGGGCACATCGGAATGTGATGGCGAAATTGATAAAGGCGATAGGACCGCGGAGCTCGCCTGGAACGGCTAGGGCTTTAGGGACGCTTTCGCTACAATTGTCAAGATCCTTAGGCCTTGATGCTCTAGCCGATGGGCTGGCACTGAACAGCCGAAACAGCCCCATCAAAAGAAAGATGAAAAGAAACTTAATATTTAAACTGGCCGAAGAGGGCACACGAATGGTCTAAGGTGACATCGGCTGCGTGCTGGGCGATCCAACCGTCATCGTACAGTTAAGAGCACCTGTTATCGTATCAGAGAGCTTGGGACGAAACACTTGTGGGTTGAAACACTATTATGTTTCCTTTGTGCCTTCCACTCTACTGATTTGAGAAGCAGTGCGTTGCATGAAACAGAGCCTCAGCACTTCGTTATCTTGAACCCGACTAAGCATCTCCACTCTGTAGCTATGCCTCGAGTCCTCCTTTTTCCTGTAGATGATACAGATGACTCGCAGAAGAGCTGGGACTGGATTATTAACAACTTTTACCGAGACGGCGATGAAGTACATCTCTTAAACGTGATATCGCGGCTCACTTTTGCAGCAACACTTGGCGTACCTGCTGTCGATTTCACTCCTCAGATCAATCGGGAAGCATATGAGAAGGCGGTGCAGAAAGCTGAAGCCTTCATCGTGAAGCGCTTTCTTGCGCGGCTTCCAGAAAGCATTCAAACAACACCAATTGTCCACATCATCAAGGTACGTAGCCTAGTTTACCTTGGCTGGTTTTTGCGAACGCAGTCGGCCACGGGTTGTTGAACCACGCGCCACGTGTCGAAGCGAAAGCGTGATCGTTTTAACTCTGTTTGTCACAAATGCTGTGAAGAAAATGCACCATACCTTGGACATACTGCCCATTTTCGTATGACTGTTGCTTTCATTTTGGTGTTCACTACCTTGACACATCCAGTCCGAAGTCGACACGAACAGCGTTGGGCACGTCATCTGCATGAAGGCTGACGAGCTTAAGGCCACGTGCATTCTCATGGGCAGCCACAACAAGGGACCGGTCGCGGAGTTTTTCATGGGCTCCGTGTCGCAGTACGTCTCTCACCACAGCAAGGTCCCCGTGGTGATTGTGAAGCAGCCATAAATCCGTCAGCATGTCGCCCGTTGCATATCCCATGCGGCAATGCATAGGGATCGTTTTGCGGACGGAAAAGCGGCTGACGTGGTTGGCTTGTTTGAGCATTTTCCGTGTCGTGCACCATGCCTTTTGAGCGGGTGGCAAGGACTCCTGCGCGTTGCGCTCATGATCACGTCCCAGGGAAGTGTGCTGTAAACGCAAGCTGCCGGCGTGTTGGGGCTCAGAGCTCAGAGCCGGGATTGTGGTTTCCCAGGTGGGCACAATTCTAAGGGACGCTGTCGCGTTCCTTACGTAAGCGCGCACGTATGCGCGTTGCCTAGGTGGAAACGGAAGGCACGATGACCCATGTCGCCCATACACGGGTGGCGTTAGGGCGTGTTGTACCTCGGTGTGTTCAACTTGTTTGTAACATTGTGTAGGGTTTGTAGCGTGTAGTGTAGGGTTCGAACTAGGATAACAAAATGTTACACAAGATGTTGCAATCTTGTTGCAATTTTGACGAAGCCTTCATCTTTCCTTTCCCGGGTCGTTTGGCGGTATCGATATCTTTGACACGGGGCCTTTGGATGTGCGGTGTGTCAGAGGATCGATGCTCGGTGTGAGGTCGATTAAGAGGGGGTTAAGCACGGGATTGCCAGCTATGGCAGGATGGCTCGCGCGCGGCATGTAGAGGGGACCAAAGCCTTTTGTCGGGGGGCCTCCCTCCAGTTGGGGGACCTGCGTTTGTCCTCATCCCTGCGAACCTCATTACTTTGCGCAAGGAGATATCTGTCCTTTCTGATATTCGAGGCCTGAGGTTCTAATTCCGCCGCAGCTGCGGCAGCGACAGCAACAACAATACATGAACGGCTGGTTTGCCTTGGCTATCTCGGCTTATTGTTCCATCTTGGTACAGCTGGCGATGTTACTAGACGGCTCTGGCGCGTAGATTGTGCGCGTAAGCTGCTGCTTGATTTGCGTGTTTTGGTCCACAGTTCGTCATTTTAACATACACCCAAGGCGAATGATGTGAATGAGGGTGCGATGTCAAGGGCCGAGGAAGCAGCTTCATACAGCGCCGCAATCCAACGGAGAGCTCCCCCCGCTACCGTAGCTTCACTCGTTCGTGGTTCGTCTTTTCCCCCCGCTACCGGCGCCCGGCCTCGTTGGTACTCGGTGTCGTCCAGAAAGAGTTCATGCCGTACTGGACGTGGTGTACATGTGTCGCTGTACTTTCAAAAGAACAGTCTAGTAAGGAATGGTTTTAGGACAGATCAGATGGACTGCATCGTCCTCTGTATTTGGCTTCACGTCCCAAGGGTGGCGGCGATTGGTCATAAGTTGTATCATGGTTGTGGCGGCGCTCGGCGGTAGCATTGACGGCAGTAGCGGAGCACGGCTTAGCGCCAGGGGGGTTGCTCCTTGACGTTTTAGGACTCTTAGTCGCAGAACCCCCCCTGAACCTCAAAACGGTCAGGAAGCAAAGCACGGGTGGAACAAAGGGCTCCCCCGTGGTGTGGTCCCAGGCATCGCGGCCGGCTACCATCGGCTACCCCTCAGTCACCGCCCAAAACAAAAGTTGAGGGGAACAACGTTATGTTCTGGAGGTAGGCGTCCTCGCGATTGACGCAAAACGGCAACTTTCAAGGAAAGCTCTTAATTCGATTTGCAGAAGCGGGCCCTTGTTTGACTGATAGCTCCGGTATGATGTGTGAAACAGGGGCTTCTTCGCCCGTGGCAGCTACCCTGCCTTCCCCTGCCTTCCCCGGTATTTCGGGGCACCCTCGTCCAGTCACCCTAGTCAACTTCTCAGTGGATCGCTCAGGTTCCGCACCCACCCCCAGCATCCAACGGAATCTGCCGGGTCGACAGCGGCCCAACTCCATTCCATTCCTGGTCGGCTCACAGGTTAACTATATCCCAGGTCACCGCCGTTCATCAACTAGGGGCACAATACCTTTCACCATCGGAAAGGGTTTTGACCCTAACGGGTATCCCGGGATTTCCCGGGGGCAATGGTCGCGCGTTACCAGTAGTGCCAAACCCTAGTGTATATTACAGCAATTAAAGTTCCGGATCGGGACACCGTGTCAACAGACCAGACCATGGTCTTTTGACGCCGCCACCCATTAGCCTTGTTGACAATATTCACAACCTACCTATAGGGGTAGTGCCGGCTAGTACATGCGCGCACATACGTGGTACTGCTCAGTCCTGCCATGTTGCGTTACAGTAGCTAAGCAGCCCGGGCGACCCACCCGAGGCCAGCAGCGACAAAAGCCAGGGACCGCTGCATTGTGGCAACCCCCGGGATTGCCCTGGGTGTGTGGGGGATACGACGAGGCACAGACGATTGACAAGGAAAGGAACATAGACGGGTACTCCAAGATTAGACCAATGACAAAGGATAATTATAAAGATACTGACCGGTGGGAAGGGAGAAACTAGAGGACACTGTCCCAGCAGCGGGACACACGTCTTGGTAATAGTCAAAACAACGGCAGTTAGGGAACCAATGCCCCCGTACGACCCAAATAGGAGCTTGGCGTCCCCTGCCGTACTGTGGTCCGGCACATGCATGCATGCGCCCTGCTTCCACGCACCACGGCAGCTCCCCTTCGCAATACGTACTTGCCTATCTCTACACTCTACTTCGCTTCGAGAAATTGAAGCGTATTGTGGTGTATGCGGGGGTTTGACCCACAAACCCCATGTCTACTCCCTGGCACCCAGAATGGGCTGTTATAGACAATTAAGGACCTTAAGGTCATGATACCTGGTAATCCATATAAGAGCGCGCGGTGTGTTCCTCTAATGGACTCTTGTTTGCTAAAGGTTGAGCAGGAATCAAATTCAGTAGCGGGTAGCAAGTAGGAGCGGGTAGCAGGTAGGAGCCGGTAGCAGTCTCCCTTGGTTTCGACATGCCTCGGCTACATGCTTTTGATGAGCCTTGCTGCAGTCTTAGAAGATGCTAGAGACACAAGTGTACAATACTGTTGACAGCGAAGCAAAAGACGAAGCAAGCACCGGTACCTTAAAAAGCCATCGACCAAGTGTGAATTTTTTTTCCAGGATAGAACAGGTGGTGAACGTTTCTCTGCTCTCCGTTGCGGCGGCCCTAGAAGCTTCTCGTCAGATCTTTCGTATACTGCCGGGTTTCAGTTGCCGACGCTAGAGATGCAGGGAGATTGCCGTCAAAGCGCTGAGCAGCATTTTGCATACCAAAGACTTCACTCTAGAAGTAACGAACTCGGACCTGTCTGACATGCGCCGACCTAACTTCCTGACCGCGGCCGTCTCTGTATGTCATGCCGCATCTGTGCGTCCGTACCTTTCTCGAAAATGTAAAAAAACCATTCCTATTCGTCAATTTTGTTTGTAATATGGGAATAATAAGGTTGTGAGTTGATTAGGTATGTATTCGTCGTACGGTGGAGACCAGCGTACCTGTTCCAGAAGCAACATGATTGACGAAGGACTAAAGCGACAAATGTTTTTAGCATTTTAAAAATGACAGAGGAGCTGGCTTGCAAATTTGTCAAAGCCAGGCTATGTTAACGTAACCTTCTTGTTAACGTAACCTTCTTTCAAACGGAAAACCGTCAGCGGTACAGGTAGGACTGCTCGGGCCGCGTAGGCACTATAAAAGGCGCCTTAATATAAAGCTGCTGGTACAAGCCAAGACTAACTTTGCAAGCCCCCAAGCCGCGGCAGTCTTCCTGTGCAGGCCGTTCCAGGCATCCCAACAGTACCCCCCACTCCGGTATTCCATGCAGAACGACAACAGCTAGTAGTTTGCAGGTTCAAGTCGAGATTTTGAAACTAATAATGAGAATGAAAGTTACCATTTTGCTCGGGTTGTACCTGCTCGGGGCGACGGTCGTCGCCGCAGGTAAGCGATTGGCTCATGTTTCCGCACACCATCCCAATCTCAGCGCCTGAAGGAAGCAAGAGGAAATCGTTTTAATCGACGAAAATTAACCGTGTAAAAGCCCAGTTTAATTAAGTGCACATCGATTTTCTTCAATTCTGTCTATTGATCGTACTGCCTCCATTTATCGCAGGAGGCGCTCCTCACCTGTCATGTTCAAACGGCTGGGACATTGGAGGCGTTGAAGTCGGTCGTGTTCCTAGCGCCGATTCAGCGGTCAGCTGCGCCAGCGTATGCCTTGAGACGCCGGCGTGCCATTTCGTAGTCCACTTCCTGGACGGCACATGCGCTCTGCGCACGGCGCCATGGACAAAGCCCAGTCAGCCCAGTCACATGGTGACGCAGGCGTGCTCCGTGAGGGGCTCACCGCTGGGGATGCCACAGGCGGTGCCCGAAGTTTTCCACCCCGGCAAGTGCGGCGAGCAGTGGCTTTTCGGCCTTTTGCATTGGCCTTCTGTGTTTGGGGCAATAACGTAGTTTAATTATGCGAATTGGAAAACACCCGGTTGTTTGTATTGCTATTTATTTTAACTGCAAAACCTTCTTGTGCATCCCATAGCACTCCCACATCAGCGTCACAGGCAAAAACATATCAGCCTTTGGTTTTGGGAAGGCATTGTGTTGTAAAGTTCCGTGATGATGTTTTCCGTTGGTCCTTCTACTAAGGTCCATTCATATGTACCTTGTTACCAAAACAGGAAACCTGCCGTCCGGCTCGGAGGTGCTTGCCCTCTGCGCCCAGAGATTTTCCGTCCACGGGATCACTGCAACGGCCACCTTCGAGCCCAGCCTTGCGGACTGTGTCGGCCGGTGCAAGCTGGCTGGCGACGGCGTCTGCATTGCCGTCGAGTACGACAACGGCGCCGGCAAGTGCAGGCTCCTGCGGTCCGTGTACGACAGCATCGAGAACGACGAGGAAACCGACCTATTGGGCACAACGGGGGTTTCGGAGCTGCACACGGTTTGCAGCCTGGGAAGCTCCAGGCTGGTTCTCCAACTCCACGGCGAGAGCAAGATAACGGTCAACGGCCTGCAACGTAAGCCTTGTCATGTTGACTATCCTTGGGTCTGACAGTCGCGTAATTCTGTTGGCTTCTCCCGTTTGAAAAGTACGGCATTATGTGAACTGCGCGGATGTCCTGTTCAGGATCCCACGCCTGGACATCACCCTTGGGGGGTTTGGCTATGACCTAGGTTTGCACTTGCAGTAGACACCTCACCGGCCTCCCATGACATGCATCTCCCGTCCCTGGTCGCAAACGACAAAGATGCCTTTCCGATACAACAAACATTTGCTCACATCACATCGCACAGGCGCTGTAAGGGCACACCGTGTCCTCGCGGGGTCCACGGCATCGCCGCCACCACTGCGCAAACCGCCATCGCCATCGCCACCTGTCCGATCGCCACCCCGTCCTCCACCCCCGTCTCCACTACTTCGCCCACCACCGTCACCACCACCCCGGCCGCCGCCACCACGCCCGCCACCACGGCCGCCTCCTTCACCGCCTCCGCCTCCGCCACAGCTGCCAGAAGAGCCTTCTTCTCCATCTCCCCCAGACAACGGCAACAACCAGGCACCCGTCAGCCAGCCGAACTTCCCACCGTCGTGGCCCAACGGACCTTCGGCACCAAACGATCCCTACAATCCCTGCCCCGTAGCAGGCCGGCCGGCCTCCCTGACAACGTACAGGTGGGGACTTCTACCTGTATTAGAAAGAACTCTCTGGAAAATAAATATTCAGGCGAAAAGAATGAAGTGAAACCAGCAGGTTGAGCGGTGTTGCAGGGAGTTGTGTGCAGAGTAATAAATCGGGATTTGGGGCTTGGAAAAATGGAATGGATCGAGGCCGACTCGTGTACATTTCTTTATGACTTCACCTAAAAAGGACGGACAGTTCTTCTTAAGTTTAGGAAGATACATAGTATCTGAAGCTATTGAACAGCAGTGAGGTGCCATGGACGGCCATAAGAGGGTCACGCCCGTGCAGCGTATATGACTTGTCTGGTCCAAACACAGCAAAGTATGCGCAAGCCAAGGAACTCAACCTCCAAAGTGGCAAGATACTCACCAGGAGTTACTCCTCTGGTAAGGGCTTTTTGAACAGTGGTGCGAGAAGAGAAGGCATGATGGCGCGAACGAATGACACTGAGAACTGCACCACCATCTATGTGTGCCTGTGTGTTTGCGGGGGAACTGCGCCTCACATTATCGAGGTAATAAATGACACCCTGAAAACCTATTGAAAGAAAATAGATTACTTGATAAGCAATGGAAAGGCGCTCGCACAGCATTTGACTTATTGCACGCTCGTGTCTATGCAGGCGGTCGTGGTTGATTAGTGTATTTGTTTCCCTTGTTTCCAATGCTTGGATGATAGGATGCTTGGATGATTTTGTGTTGTACTATGGCCCTAAATATTTTCCATTGTGGCTTTTAGGAGGCTCTTGGGCCTCTATCTGGCCCGTATGGGCACTCGTTATACCTCTCTGGGTAACACAACCGAGGTGTAACACACCACATACACACACACGCACACACACACACACACACACACCACACCACACACATGCACACATGCACACACGCACACACACACACCACACACACATACACACATACACATACACACCACACACACACACACACCACACACACACACACATACACACACATACACACACATACACACACATACACATGCACACACGTGTTCGTGCTTGAAACCATCTATCCATCCTTTTATATGTACTGGCTGGTTGGTACGGGCCCTAACCATTTTAATACAAAATATCAACCAAACCTTCTCAACCACCTGCACTCCACACCTCCAGGTGCGCTGCTGGCTGGGAGGTGAAGGGCACGCTGCTTGCCAGTCAACCCACGGGTACCTACACAGCCGCCCAATGCGAGGCACTGTGCGTCGCCAATGCGCAGTGCCAGTTCTATGTGTCGTACCTGGACGGGAAATGCAGCTTGCGGTACAACCCCTGGACGGCAGACCTCTACAACTCAGCACCCGCACCGGGAGTCGTCAACATCACATGCAGCAAGCCTGGCGCGACACAGCCCCTTAAATTTCCACAGGCCTACCAGACTTGCATGTGCCAATCGGGATGGTGCTATGGTGAGCATAGCACTGGTGTGCCTGGAGATTCCAATAGGACGGCCTCTAGGATACGCACATACATGAAGTTTCTTAGTGCATCGTGCACACCGATATATACATATCAGCTACCTAATGCTGCGGCAGCTGGGGGTAGTGGGGGGTAGTGGGGGGTAGTGGGGGGTAGTGGGGAGGGTAGTGGGGGGTAGAGGGGGGTAGTGGGGGTTAGTGGGGGGTAGTGGGGGGCATACTGATTTGTAACTAGGCAAAAGTATGAGGTACAGTCCGGTGTGAAAATCTAAACTGTGAAATCACACAAGAATAGCATAGAGGCGCCCCGCCCCGCTCAAAGAATACTACATTGATGTGTGATTTTAGGCTGCTGCTGTCCTTCCTGATCCGCTGCGTTAATGTTGTCGTTGTCTATTTGTTTGGTCCATATCGTTTGCCGACCGCATATAATGATGCACACTACACCACACCACACACATGCACTCACACACACACACATGCACACACACCACACCACACCACACCACACCCTCACTCCCTCTCTCTCTAGGCATCGCCAACTGCGTGGAGGGCTTTGAGGCGTATGGCGAGTGGGGTTTCTTCTCCACCTCCGTCCCCAACGGCTATGCTGATATGGGCATGTGCATGGTGGGATGTCTCTACAACCCGCATCTGTGCTCCTACGCACTGTGGTACCAGAATGGAACAGGTGGGTGTGCATGCGTGCAGTGGTCGCTGTTGGGATGGCTGGTCCTGGTCAGATCTGGGGCAGCGCTTATCTTGCTACCAGGGGGTTGCAGCAAGAGCGAGTGATGATGACGAGTGAAAACTGCTGTGCGTGACAACGACAGTGTTTTGCACAAATGTGTAGGACTACTTGCTGTTCTGCTGTACTGCAGAAGCACCTGTATTTCATGTATGTATGTTCCCAAGGTCCACCCTCCCAACCTCTCGTCATCGGTGCAAATGCGCCGCCGATTGTCTGTATGGCCCTAACGATGCATGTGTGTACGTATGTATGTATGCTTGTATGTATGTATGTCTCCAATAGCCTCACCTACCTTCTGATGGCCTCCTGCTGCTGTGCAGACATTCTCTGTCTGGCCCGCCAGAAGCCCTACATCTACCCTACACCGATGCCGGACTACTACAACGTCCAAGGCACCACAGGACCAAGCAAGCGGGCGAACATCATGTGGTGAGACAGAGAGAGGGAGAGAGAGATGGGGGGGAAAGGGGGGGGGCTGCAGGAAGGGGAGCGAGGGGAGAGGGGGGCTTGGAAGTCTGATGTGCACGCATGTCCTGTCGATGCTACAGTCATACACGACAAAGTGAAAGGAAAGGTGGGGTGGCTTGGAAGCCTGTAATAGAGAGAAAACGGGAGGGTGATGAGGACGACCTGCTGTGGGTTGACAGTCCCTGTGTTGTGTGTCTGTGTGTCTGTGTGTCCGTGTGTCTGTCTGTGTTCGTATGTCTTGCTTTTCACATGTGCGCAGCGAGGTGGCCAATGTGGGATCCATGTACCTGGATGCTGGGAGGCCCAACCCGTAAGTATACAGAAAGTACGGAGAAACCGCTGGTGTCGTGGATCCTTCCAGCAGCTGTGAGGAGGAGGACACGTGCACATCTGTCAATCTGGCGGCCTTCACGCTATACATGGTTGGTGTATATATATCATCATTGGGGCTCGTACGTTTAGTCGGTGTCCTGCCGTACAGCAAGGGCCAAGCAAGCAGCCAACATCGTTATGTTTGACCGGACTGGGCTCCTTTTGACTCCTTCCCTCGGTTTTCCGACAATATTGCTGCTGGTGACCGAGTCAGGGGGCAGTATGCAGAGTCGAGAGTCCGAGAGTCCACATCAGCGGTCTGCTTGATCATCGTTGAACTAGTACGATCCGCCATAAGTATTTTTTTCGGCTGGCTGCTGCTGCTGCATCTACTTGTCGTGCGGTATTGGTCAAATGCTGTTGCAGCTTCATAATCAGTCGCTAGCTAGATTCCCTGCAGGCGCTAGCTAGATTCCCTGCAGGCACTCATGTGTACGTGGGGGGCCCTAGGAGGTGCTGAGCTGCTAGTTACATATCTGTTGCTCTGGTGAACGAGGCTCTGTGTGTGCATATGTATGTATGTGGAACTGTGAGGATTATTATTACTGTAGTATGTTTGGTGGGTAGGCCTATCATCCTTCTTGACCTTTCTTTCACATGCTGAAGAGAAGAAGACAGAATGGAGTCATAGTGTGTATGTGTATGTATGTGTGTGTATGCACACATAAGCAGAACATCATGTCTAGCTTTATGTTGCATAGTTAGTGTAGTAGCTGGTACATATATAGTACGGCACCCGTATCGTCTACGAAGACATGCTGAGGCGCTCTGCCGGCATCTTGAGAGGCCTTTTCAGCGGCCAGCAGCTACTATTACAGTTAATTCACTGCACAGGCAATCTACTCTTGCTGCGTCTTTCCTCCTTTTCAGGCGATTTTCCCTTCAATGTGCATGTGCATGCATCATGAATGAGTGAACCTTAGAGCGAGGTAGGATCATACAGTGATTTTTTTGGATGTATGGTGTCGTACGATAGGTGCTGCAAGGTCCCATGTATGTATCGGGAATAATACAGGATGATCATACATACATACTTACATACATACATACAGCAGTGCATATCAATGCATCACAGTGAAATCATGCAGCGTGTGTGTGTGTGGGTTGGGGGCTCTGCATGATGGAGCGCCTGCTGTATACCCACCCCACGACCGGAATTGATGCAAAGAGGTTCATCGAGCAGCGTTTTTGCGTGCGTGGGTGCAGTCTGCTGCTCTGCTGGAAGAAGCACAGGGAAGCTGGGTGGGGCGGATGGACAAATATCGGGATGGATCCGGATCCCTCACCGTTGGTTATAACTACCAACAGCAATCAGATCCAAACAATGCAATACAATACAATGCAAGTGTCATTTGTGTGTAAATGTTTTAACTTGCCGCCTCAGCCGAACTGTGTGCATGCGTGCACGTGCAGAGGAGCAAATGCAGAGGAGCAATTGCTTCCCAGCCAGGCTTGCAGCGGCATACATAACAGCTGATTCTATAAAAGCCAGCCTATATATATGTAAATATATGTAAATATATGTTTATATATAGTTGCTTTCTCCAGGGGTGCAAACATCCACGTGAACATGATAGTTCGTGGTGGTAGTGGGTGCTGAATCCGGTTGAATAAAACCCTTAAGGGTTTATAATCATCAAGCTTAATGATTGACTGTGCATGGAAGAGAGCTACAGGGCTCGCTCAAAAGAAGTATGAAACCTGGTATGGAAAGACGAGTACAAGGATTTTCAGGTAGTGGTGGTGCAACTGCTGGGGATACAAAATGTTGTTTAGCAACACATGGTCCCACCATGTACATACAGCTGCAGGTAGAGCAGGTAGGAGTACTACGTGGTCGCAGGCTGGTGCAGGGTGAAGGCTCATGATGGCTTTTGCTCCAAACCAAACCAAAAGGAAAAGCTTTTAAGCAATCGGAATCTGATAAACATAATAGCTGGGAGCCAGAGAAGAACTTTATGCCTGACCTTCACTCTGAACTTCAAGCAGTCAAGGCTAGTGTCACTAACACTGCAAGGATGCTGAGTCTAGACAGGGGATAGTTGTTGTGGCATACTTGAATTTCTTAAGATTCTGGCAGTTCATCACTTGGCATTTTCTTCACTCTTGCTTGATTAACCTATTTGGTGCTTGCCTACCTTATATCATGTGTGGCTGGATTATGGTGCTCTTGCTATAACCATGACACTTGTCACTGGTACTGTAGTAGCTGGAATTGTTTTCAAGAGGCCTTTTCAGCGGCCAGTTACTACAGGTACACCCAGTTGGGTACAATTGCACCTAATGGTGATTCTTAGTGATGGCAACTACATTCCCAGGCCATACAGGTTGCTGTACATGTGTAGCAAGCTACATTTCCCTTAGAATATTTGAACGATTACTGTTAACAATAACTGCTAATTTGTTAACAATTTGACTCAAGGTTCGTACACGTTACAAAGTATACATTTCGTCCACGTTACTTGGCATACTTGGCAGTTGTTCATAAGCAAATCTAACGGGCTGGGGCCCCAGGCCCCACCAACATTATCCTAGTACGGCAGGACCGTGGTAGGGAATCTCCGGCAGGTAGGCCAAGATATAAGCTACCATATCACATCTACTAGGTGTTCGGAGTTCAAGACTCTGCTGCCGCCGTCTCTGATTGTTTCGTACGCGTCTATGTACACTAGTGCTTGCTGCTGGGTTGGACTTATTCCTACTCCAGCGAGGACTGTCAACACCACACTTCCACTTATCCAGTCGACCCGCCAGGTGAGCGACTGCTACAACATGTCATCATGTTCACTGCATAATTTCATTCAGTAATCAGTAGTTTCCACTATCACATAACAGTGGAGGTGGATACAACAAGGAACAAGCTGCCAAGGGCCCTTACACTGCAGGAGAACAGAAGAACACAAACCCAGCCGCAGGACTGCAGCCCACTGGCCACCACACCTCAAACCAACAACATCCCCCAGCAGGGTGACACAACAGAACTACACACAACACATACCCAAACAACTCCCAACCACCACCTGGTCAGACTCTCATGAGATGGCCCCTACCTCCCGAACCTGGGAAAATCCCAGACTGGGCCTCCCTGTGACAAGCACTATCCTTCAAGGCCCTAAGACCTCTACAACACCCTCCCCAACCCGCCCCCTCCTAGCCTGCCAGCTGTCCAGTCACCCCTCAGCAGGCATCTGCCACAACCCTGCCACTGCCAGAGCCCAGCATGGAAGTGTCTGCAATTAACCAGTGAAAAAGGGAAAGGGTAACTTACTATTCCATTATATGCCAACTCACAAGCATGATAAATTTCTTTTGGGACTAGCCAACCTGCATGAATAACTCAGACTTCTATTGCAGTTGAAGCAAACTGTAAGGATTCTGTACTTTCATCAGGTTTATGCCCAGTCATTATTGTCCTTCAGCACAATGGCTTTAAAGCAAGTTTATGTTCCCCAATCCGTTTTGCATTATAGTAAAGTACGGTATTATTGGGGACAACAATACCATATTTCCCTCAAAGTGGGAACACATCCCCAAACTAATTAGTTTTCTTGTGTGCTTCCAGCATGTGCAGCCTTTAAATGGCAAAAATATCCTAAGAGTTCATGAAGTGAGCAGCAAATAAGATGGGTAGCCTATAGGCCTATAGGCCCATGTCCATAGTCCAGAGCAACAGAGGGGTTTATCCTGGTGCCATGTCACCCTTCCCAATGGGTTATCAATAGGCTGTTGGGGGTTACGGTAACCCATGGGATTGAGGGTAACCCATGGGTTACAGACCCAATCAGTGCCATAGGGTAGGTAGGTGCTAAGTTATTGGAAGTGGTATCATCAGTTGCACACTTTGTACAGCATGTTGCTGCTTGTTTGGATACCCTATGGCAGTCCGGAGACGTGTAACTCGTCAGGCTCGGTAGCTACGGGGCAGTTGTCTGGACAGGTTACTCGCCAGCTAGAAGCTTGGTAAATGTGCAACCTTGAAAGTGTCATAATTAGGCACAGATATGCGCGCTGAGTGTGTGAAATGTTATGACGAGGTTAGTTAACATGTTTGCCATCAAATATAAGTGTAGGGAGGCATTATTTGTCCTTACGATTTGCTCTCTACCTACGGCCATTTGGCAGTCCAGAGACGTGTAGCGCCCAAGGCTCAGCAGCTACGGGACAGTTGTCTGGACGAGGTTACTTTTGACGTGCAGCCCCGAAAGCACATTGGGAAGCATGAATATAGCCGGTGAATTTATCATAAGTGAAATTTAGGTTACTTAGGGTGTTTGCCACTTGTATTGGTGCTCCGATGTAACATGACCATTGGTAGTCATGGTCATGGCCCAAAGGAACGCCGATTGTTCCAGCACAAAGTAGAATATAGTTGATGAACAAATAAGTACATAGGCAAGGTTACCCGAGGCCGACGTCGATCGATCTGGTCGACCAGGTCCGCCAATGTAGTGGGTCCATGCCACAATATCCGAAAGTCGGCTGAAATCATTTAAACCCTAGTCCGGTTACTGAACAAAATTACGAGGGACGAGATTTCGGGGCTCTTATGTGTTTTACATGGGGCATCATGTACGGCTGTCGTATCTATGGCTTCAATGTCCAAGTCCGCAGATTTGTTTATGTAGGCAGGTAGTGGTGGGCCACATCTGTGCCACGGTTGTGTGTTTCGTTGTGGAATCGTTACCCGTTGCCCTCTTTCTTGTTCCTGATGCTATGGAGGGTGGCTGGGGCTGGGCGGTTGTTGCCTCCGTCATTGACGTGCCTGCCCTAATTGTCATGTTCCCATCCATGTGCTGCACGTGCAGCAGGCCTCGGAAGATGGGGCCGACGCCCAGCCGGGAATGGAGGTAAGATGGGGGGGAGGGTCGGGGCTCTTATGTGTTTTACATGGGGCATCAAAACGCTGTCGTACTCCGATATGGCTATCGGAGTACGGCAGATTTGTTTGATGTAGGCAGGTAGTGGTGGGCCACATCTGTGCCACGGTTGTGTGTTTCGTTGTGGAATCGTTACCCGTTGCCCTCTTTCTTGTTCCTGATGCTATGGAGGGTGGCTGGGGCTGGTTGGTCCGTCATTGACATGCCTGCCCTAATTGTCATGTTCCCATCCATGTGCTGCACGTGCAGCAGGCCTCGGAAGATGGGGCCGACGCCCAGCCGGGAATGGAGGTAAGATGGGGGGGAGGGTCGGGGCTCTTATGTGTTTTACATGGGGCATCAAAACGCTGTCGTACTCCGATATGGCTATCGGAGTACGGCAGATTTGTTTGATGTAGGCAGGTAGTGGTGGGCCACATCTGTGCCACGGTTGTGTGTTTCGTTGTGGATTCGTTACCCGTTGCCCTCTTTCTTGTTCCTGATGCTATGGAGGGTGGCTGGGGCTGGTTGGGGGAGGCGGGCGTGAATGGTTAGGGGGGCGAGGGTCGGGGCTCTTATGTGTTTTACATGGGGCATCAAAACGCTGTCGTACTCCGATATGGCTATCGGAGTACGGCAGATTTGTTTGATGTAGGCAGGTAGTGGTGGGCCACATCTGTGCCACGGTTGTGTGTTTCGTTGTGGAATCGTTACCCGTTGCCCTCTTTCTTGTTCCTGATGCTATGGAGGGTGGCTGGGCTGGTTGGGGGGCTGGTTCGCGGTCATTGACATGCCTGCCCTAATTGTCATGTTCCCATCCATGTGCTGCACGTGCAGCAGGCCTCGGAAGATGGGGCCGACGCCCAGCCGGGAATGGAGGTAAGATGGGGGGGAGGG